CCTGTAAGGACAACACTGCCATCTCCTGAAACTCTTTGAAATGTTGGCATCCCCTCCTGTATCTGCCTTATCACTAGTACTGGAGGGTGGGTAGTGACCTTCTTGTTACTGCTCTTTCCAGATCATTCTTCTTCATCTTGCCTAAAAACCCTTAGACTTGACTATCAAGCTGTATGATTATACACCCTACTACTTACATTTGTTGGCGTTATCAGCCAACCCCTGAACACTCACTACCTTGAATTCTTAAAGATGTTGGTTCATTACTATTGCTGTCCTGATTAGCAATTTTAGTTGCATACAGATTATCCTTTTAATACTTTGGTCTCTCAGTTCCTTGAATTCATCATTTGCTATAATGTTGCCACCTACCAACACTAACATAGTTTTTTTTTTAATTTATTTTTTTGTTGAAGGATAATTGCTTTACAGAATTTTGTTGTTTTGTCACACCTCAACATGAATCATCCATAGGTATACATAGTTATTCTGAAGACTTACTGTCTCCATAATATCAATTATCAGTTTCATGTGTTCCAGTTTGTCTGTTTTCTCTCCTCTTTGGTAACCCAATTCCAGTAACTTTTAAACCCACTAAAGACTTTAACATTGATTGATCTTATCAATTTTCATTTTCCTGATCCCCCTTCTTACCTAACTTAAATTCCATGTTCTTTTCAATATAATCTACTCCTTAACATTTTTTTATCTTCAATTACCTGCCCTTCTTTTCAGTAATTGTACATGATTGGGAAAACTCCAGCACTACTTAACTGCAAATCTTTATCTGCTCAGCACCTCCATCCATGCAGCTGGGTGTGCCTGGAACAACACCTACAATACACTGTTTCATTTAAAATCCAGGTTAAGCTATCTTCAAGTGATTTCTCTTTATCTTATACATCCATGTCAAATCCATTAGTACTTTCTCACTTTTTATTCCCCAAAATATGTTAAGAATCTGCCCTACTTTTTACCATCTTTCTTGGTCCCACCCTTGTCCAAACTACCATCTTCTCTTTCCTAGATTTTTACTATAATCTTCTCAGTGGCTTCTCTGCTTTACATTTAATTACAGTTTATTCCCCAGTAGCTCAGCAGTGAAGAATCCACCTGCAGTGCAGGAGATGCAGGTTTGATCCTTGGGTTGAAAAGATCCCCTGGAGAAAGAAATGGCAACCCACTCCAGTGTCCTAGCCTGAGAAATCCCACAGACAGAGGAGCCTGGTGGTCAGTCCATGGGGTCGTGAAAGAGTTGGACAGGGCTTGATGACTAAAACAACAAACAACAGTTTATTCAGCAGCCCCAGCCTTTTAAACTGTAAGTCAGAGTGCATCTTTAAAATTTTTTTTCCTTACAAACCTTACACTAGCTTTGCACCTCTCTTTCAGTGACCTATATAGTTCCTGGCTTTTTAAACTTCATTTCCTGCCATTTCCATCTTTTGCTAACTTATCAGCCACTCTGGCCTCCTGGCTTTTCTTTGAATGTGGTGTGGTCTTCACCTTAAGGGTCTTTGACCTACCTGTTTGAAAGAGTAATTCCTCTCATGCATGCTTTATTTTTTTTCAATAAGATATATCAACATTTGCAATACTCTGTAATGTACTTGTTGGTCTGTTTCTCTGAATTAAGATGTAAGGTCATTGTTACGTATGCAGCTCTTAGGACAGCGCCTAGCCGTGTCTGTGTGTGTGAGTCGCTCAGTCATGTCCGACTCTTTGAGACCCCATAGACTGTAGCCCACCAGGTTCCTCTGTCCATGGGATTCTTCAGGCACGAATACTGGAGTGGGTTGCCGTTTCTTTCTCTGTGCTTAGCCATAGTAGGCACTCAAATACTCATTGAATGAGTAGAGTGAGTGATCAGCAAACTGGTTATCCATTGAAATTGTTAAGCATACTTTAAGCAGGGTATAGTATGGTAGAGCTGAAAGAAAGTTGCATATTGGAATGTTAATGCCCATGTCCTTCAGTTGTTTAGATATTGGAAGGATATACACCAAAATGTTAACAGTAGCTGTCTCTAGTTAGTGACATTTTTTTATGTCCTTTTGATAATTGTTTTTCTGAATGTTTGAGAAATCTTTATGTATTAATGCTATTGGGAGATTTTTAATTCCGTATTCAAAAATAAAATACAGGAACTAGCTGTATTAAAATAAAAAAATAATAAGAGTAAGTATTTTATTAAAAAAAAAACACTGGTTCACTGAAGTAGGGTCCCCAGCCCTGGGCCATGGACTGGTACCAGTCTTTGGCCTGTTAGCAACCGGGCCCTACAGCAGGAGATGAGCAGCAAGCCGCTGAGCGAGCGAAGCTTCATCTGACTTTACAGCCATTCCCCGTTGCTCGCATTACCTCCTGTCAGATGAGCGACGGGCATTAAATTCTCATAGGAGTGAGAACCCTACTGCGCTTGAATTGGTCATGGAAAAATTGTCTTCCAAGAAACTGGTCCCTAGTGCCAAAAAGGTTGGGGACCCCTACACTGAGGATATAAGGGAAATTAAATCATAGCAGTAAGATTGTTACCACATGTATGCTAGATGAATACTGGATAATAATTTTAATGATGCTTTCAGAAATCAAAGAAATGAGAGAATTTACCAGTATCTCACTGTAGTTTCATTGTCAGAATTTATTTATTTGTGGATTATTTAGAATGAAGTACTCTAGTAACTAGGGCTTTCCTGGTGGCTTAGCAATAAAGAATCCACCTGCCAATGCAGGAGACATGGGTTTGATCCCTGGGTCAGGAAGATCCCCTGGATAAGGAAATGGCAATCCAATCCAGTATGGTTGCCTGGGTAATCCCACGGACAGAGGAGCCTGGCGGCTATAGTCCTTGGGGTTGCAAAAGAGTCAGATACAGCTTAGTGACTGAACAACAACAACACACTCTAGTAATTAAGGCCTTTTAAATTTTTCTCACTAAATTCTAACACAGCAGAGGAAAACAGTGGTCAAATTCTGCGAGGGCCTTTTCTGTATCTGCTGTGTCATTCTCAGAATCTTGGTTATTTAAAATAACTTTTATGTTTCTTAACAGTCTTTTATATTCCCAATAGTGGTGGTAATTTTTTTAGAACCTGGATTGTATCTTTTTCCTCTTTGGTTTCTCACTGCCTACCATAGTGCTTGGTATATAATAAAATAATAAATATTTATTGAATAATTTTTTAATCAATTGATTAGTGATAATTATTAGTCTCTAATGATTATCTTTGTTAGGAAGAAACCTTTTGGCTAGTAAATCCCCCAGTGCTATATAGATAAATTTATAGTTTTATCTACGTAAATAGTTGAGGAGTTATCTGGTAGGGCAAGTGGAGAAGGGAGAGAAGAAAGAAAGGAAGAAAAGACACAACCGTGGCAGACTGTTCCGTTAGAAAAGACAAAATGCACATACATGTTGAATGACAGACTTTATTTTTTTAATTGGACAGTGATTTCACTGGGGAATTTTCCTAGTGACATGATTTGTTCTTACTCTTGTTGAATTAGGAAAGTATTCTAACTTCAATATTATGGTAAACTAGATGTTCAAATGTCAGTGCTAATAGCTTAGTATTTTAGTCGTCAACAAATTGATGCCTGTGGTATCTGGACATTTTTTGGCCTCTTCTTATAAATAAAGTCTCAGTGATGTTTAAGGAACAGCAAGTTGTGGCCAGAAAAGAAAAAAGGTGCATATTATCCAAGCTAAGCAGTATAAATGGGGCTTAGGAATCCCCCAGTAGATCAAAAATCTCCTAGAGAAAGATTTCTTGAGCTTACAAGCTAAAGACCTTCAATGTAATTTCAAATAAAGCCTTTTACGTAGTATGAGAACATTTTTTAGTTGATAATCAATTGCCACTATTATGTAAGCTTACTAGATTTGCAAATTTACAAGTTTTTACAAGTCAGTTGGGTCCCTTCCTCAGGAAATCAGTTTAAGTTTTTTTTCCTATATTGACTCAAAGAGCCTAGTTGTCCTTAAATCCTGTGAATATATTTGCCTTATAATTTGACGGCATTGAATCAACACCCTTATAGGGTTTGTAGTGTTGTAAAAAGAGAAACTGTTCAATAAAAGATCACATTTGAAAAAATTAGACTGTGTTGGATAAAACCAGTATTGGATATGAGTACTGTGCTTTGCTTTAAAGCACCTACCACTATTCAAGAAAATATATCCTGGCCCATTACTGCTTTCAAAAGGGATACTTTTAGAATTGGAAAGCAAATGAGCTATGTCTTTGTGAAATTAAGCTGTAACTGTAAATAAAATAAGTAGACAATGAAATATTGATAATTTTCGGCAGAAAATTAATAATGTGCTTGTGTTAACGTTAAAGTCTATAGAGATTCCAGAACTATTGTAATTAATATATTAAAGTAGTTAAACTTTCAAACCAAATATGCTGTGGTAAGTATATGTTACAATTAATCATTATGTTTAAATGCATTACACTAATGCATATTTTTGAGTATCATCAAATGTGCCTCAAACTATATAGATGATAGGAATGATAGTTTTTAGTTTTCTGGCACTTAACATGTGCTAGTCATTGTGTGTGAAAGTGAAAGTTGCTCAGTAGTGTCTGACTCTTTGCGACCCCATTGACTATACAGTCCGTGGAATTCTCCAGGCCGAATATTGGAGTGGGTAGCCTTTCCCTTCTCCAGGGGATCTTCCCAACCCAGGGGTCAAACCCAAGTCTCCTGCAGTGCAGGCGGATTCTTTACCAGCTGAGCCACCAGGGAAGCCCCATTATGCACTAAACATGGATTAATTCTCAAAGAACTTGGTATATGATAGGTCCATTTGTTTTTTCCAGCTTTTAGATTTAGAGACTGAAGCATAAAGAGATTAAAAGAATTGCCCCAAATTACACAGCTAGTGTCTAAGCTGGGGTATAATATCAGAAAAAAAGTCACATTTAAACTTGTTAAATATTTGTTGATTGACTTTATTATTGAATTTTGTTCTCTGTTTTTGTTCACCTTTCTAGTTGATTTGGAACATATGAGAACAGTAAAACCTGAAAAACACTTGAAATTTTGCCAGGAAAATGGCTTTAGTAGCCACTTTGTCTCAGCAAAGACAGGAGACTCTGTAAGTAAGATAATGAATGCTGAATATTATAAGTGATGCTTTACTTTTATTTACTAATATCATAGGAAGTATACTTCCATGACTTAACTTTTAGATTAAATTAATTCCTATTGAAGACATAAAATATCTTAGGTTATATACAACATGCTTATTCTATTGATACTCCTCTTATAATTTATTTAGCATAATTTCATGGTTCTTTTAGGGAATTAAAATACAAAAGCTAAAAAGAGTATAAATCACTCATAATCTCAGCATCCAGAGATGATCAGTCATAACCTCGTATGATAGTTTTGTTTTCTGATGCTGCTGCTACCACAGCTAGTGGACTGCGTTTACTGAGTGCCTACTTTGTGATGGGCATGTACTACTTTGATTATCTCTGGTTAGTTGTTAATTAATTAATTATTTTGTATTTGATTAGATGCTTATTCTGTAAATCACCATAACCATTTAAATAAGTTTAGAATAATGTTAAAATATTTTTGAATTAGTCCAAAATATCTTCACATATAAGTCAGATTTACTTTCCAGCAATCATAAGTAATTATCTCTGTTTTATAGAATAATCTTAGAGAAGTTATATTGTGGAGATTCAGTGTACACAGAATAAGTGGTGGAGGTAGGATTTGTAAACCTAAGGATTGACATTCCAAGGTTCACTGTATTAACCATGCTAAATGTTTATTTTTTTAAAAATTGGAATCATAATATAGAAATAATTTTTTATTTTTTTATTTAATATGTTTATCTGTAGAAAATTTTCTCATGTCACTTAATATTACTAAATTAAAAACCCACTAGATTTAATAATCCATTAAATAAATGTTCAAATTTATTCAACTGAGTCCCTATTGTTGGATATATAGATTATTTCCAAGTTCAGGACATTGTAAAATTTTGCAAAATTTCTAATGTAAAATTTTGTAAGTTTTGATTATTTTCTTGGAAGAGAATTGAAACCATTTGCCAAATTACCACCAGAAAGCCTAAGTTAATTTACACTACCATCAGCATTGTATGAGTGCCATATCACTATAATCTTTTTTAACATTCAGAATTTATTTATTTATTTTTAAATCTTTGTCAGTTTGGTAGACAAGAGATTAAAAGGTATTTTACTATTTAAATTTAAATTTCTTTGACTGCTATTGAGGTTAAAAATTTTTAAATTTTATTACCTACTTTCTGCTTATTATCAGTTTATAATATTTATTATATACTTTTATAAATTTATTTATTGTTAATTTTCTGCTTATTACCTGTTTATTATGTTTTTATTGCTTTTTAAAATTTTCTATGACCATTTTTGTGTTAGGGATAACATAACAGCCGTTTGTCATTATTTTTGCAAATATTCTCTTTCCACTGCCCAGGTTGTTGTTTGATCGTTAATTTTCTTGACATTTTCAACCAAAGGATGTTTGAATTTTTCTGTGGTTTAATCTTTTTGATGTTTTTTCTGTATGATTTCACTGATGGTTTTTATGCTTAGGGTAAATATTGAATATAAAAGGTATTTAATCTTTTGAGGAATCAAACTCATTTAAAAATGTGATGTATTAGAACCCTTTACCCAGGATAATGCTAATGTGGGACACCTACTTTAAAAATGTTTACAGTGTCAGTACTCCTTGATAAACCCATCCATGGATTGGGCTTTTACTGTCTCTTTTCTTCCTGGGGGTCTCTTGTCATTTTAGAATTATTTTAACTTCCAGTATTTTAGCTTGTGTTTAACCACTTAGTATTTTTTGTGTACTTATGTTGAACGACCTTTAAAAATCCTCATTGTTTTCTTTTTAAATGTAAGTTTGAAATGGCTTGTTCTTGTGAAATCACTGTATGTCCTCTCCGATCACAGGTTACTTCCCTTCGTTGCTTGAGAAGCTGATCTCCGGTCTTGCTGTACACTCTCTGATGCTGCCTTTGTCATAGTCCTTAGCGGTGTCAGTGTCTTCGTTCACCACCCCACCTCAGCCGTGCCCCCCCGTGCTCTGTCATTACAGATTACTCTAGCCCTTCTGTCATCTCGTGTCTCAGAATCAGGCATGCTAATCACTGACCAGCTTGAATGCCCTAGTCCAGTCAGTTTGCAGCCCCAGCAGGGCCTGCATGACATTGACCCTAACACTTGCCCCTGACCTTTCATGTCCTCATTTTCCTTTCTTCCTTACTCATGGTCAGTCAAAATCATTACCAGGCAATACTCTGTCAATTCCCTTTCCCCTCAGTCACTTTATCTAACTTATTTGACTAAACCTTGACCACACCCCTTTATATGATTGCACTCATGTATTTGAACATGACAGAAAAAAGCCCAGAGGCATGTTGGAGGTTTCACTTAGAGTCCACAGTCAATTCACCTCAAGTGGGCCTTAATGCTGCTTAGTAATTATGTCCTTAGGCCATGGACTCTCTCCTTCACCTAGATGCCTGTTTCATAGCTTATCTTCTCAAATCTTCAAACCTTCTTCATCCATTCTCTTAGCTGATTCCCTTGTTTCTTATTTTATAAAAAAATATTGAAACAAAGGGAAGACAACTTTCACATACTCTTGCCACCTCGTCTGCCCCAACTTTCCTTCCCACCCACTGTCCATTCCCATGTCTCTGTCTCCCCTGAGATTCCTGTGGGTTGAGCGGTCTCTGCTCGTAGCTAGGCTCAACTTTTCCATTGTGCATTAGTCCCATGTCTTTTTGCCTAGTAACAAACAGGGCTTAGAATTCTCACTCCTGCATTGTTTTTTTCCGCATGTACTGGATTATTCTATCAGGACATGAAATGTTATGACTTCTCTTAAATACAAGAAAATGCTTCATCCCACATCCTTAGCTGTTTTCTTACTTTTTGCTACTTACCAGTGGAATCTTTCCAAAGAGCTATCTCCAGTTCTTTCCTCCTGGTTTGGCTTGAATGGTTCCAGTCAGACTTTTGCCCCTAATATTTCACCCCAAAATGCTCTTATTAAGGTCATCAGTGACCTCCTTTTTGCTAAATTCGGTGTCCAGTTCTTAGTCCTCATCTTACTTGATTTAGTTGCAGCATATAAAATAGTTGATCACTCACTCCTCTTTGAAACACTTTGTTCACTTAGTTTCCAGAATACTACATCTTCTGGTTTCCCTCCTACCTTGCTAACTACTCTCTTATCGCCTTTGCTGATTCCTTCATTGAATTGCCCTAGGCACAGTCCTTGGGTATCTCTCTTTTTTTAAACTTAATTCCCTTTGTGACCTCATCTAGGCTCCTGGCTTTGGCCAGACCTCTTCCCTGAACTGCAGACTCATATACCCCAGCACTCCTACTTACGTGTCTTAAGAGTCAGTCCCAGTTTCATTCAAGATTCAGGTCCAGAACTGAACTCTTGTTATTTCTTCCTCAAATATTTTCCAGTCTTCTCCACTTCAATAAGTGGTAGATTTCCTACTGGTTGCTAAGACCAGGAAAATTTTGAAGTCGTCCCTGACTCCTGTCTTTGACATACCGCAGCGCTCACCAAGTCCTTCTGGTTCTGCTTTCCAAATGTGCCCGTAACCTGGCGACTTTTCCTGCCACTGCCACTGCTGCCGCTTTGTTTCAGGCCTCCATCACCTCTTACCTTAGTGTTCTTGCCACTTTCTCCTTTTTACCCCTGATCTTCTGTAGTGAGTATTCAATACAACAAGCAGATTGACCTTGTTAAAACAGAAGTCACATCAAGCTACCCTCCATTTCACTCAGAGTGAACGAAAGCCGAAGTCCTCCCCATGACAGCCCACCAGACCTTACCTGACTTGTATGCTCTTAGTCACTCTGCGACTGAACTGAACTGAACTGAACTGAACTGAACTGAGTCGAGTCACTCTGCTGTTTTTCTTCTACAGCCCTCCTTTTCTCTCCATTTCACCACACTAGCTTTCCTGTTTCTCCTTACATTGACCATCGGTGAGCTATAATATGTGATGCCCTTTGGGGTACAAATGACAAAAGCCAGTAAGTAGGGGTCAGAATAAACTAGGATATTTAGGGAGCAAAGACAAGGTATGCAGACAGGGAAAGATTGGATTGGAGCTCCGGGAATCATAGTGGACCCCGTATAAGCTATCTATGTACGAAAGGATGTTAGAAGTCTGCAGATTTTTGTTTCATGATACTGGATTATGAAAGTGAAAGTCCCTCAGTAGTGTCCACTCTGCGGCCTCGTGGACTGTATGGTCCAGTCCACGGAATTCTCCAGGCCAGAATACTGGAGTAGGTAGCCTCTCCCATCTCCAGGGGATCTTCCCAACCGAGGGATTGCACCCAGGTCTCCCGCATTGCAGGTGGATTCTTTACCGGCTGAGCCACAAGGGAAGCCCAAGAATACTGGAGTGGGGAGCCTGTCCCTTCTCCAGGGGATCATCCTGACCCAGGAATCAAGCTGGGGTCTCCTGCATTGCAGGCTATCAGGGAAGTCCTACACTGCTACTTTTCTGTTTGGCAAAATACAGTAAAGGTTACTAAGTTTTTGCTCCAGAGAGAATTTATTAAAATTGATCATAACCTTAGAGATGATGAAAGAGTGGAAAGTAAGACCTTTCTATATAGGCTAATGCCATATCAAAAGATCAGTGTAAAATTGGCAGTGAAAAACTTTACCGAGGTAGTAAAGTATATCACTTTCATTTTCTTCAGGACTTACAGCACTTTATTATTTGGCTAGGAGTCTTTTTTTTTTTTTTTTTTTGATGTGGTAGCTGTAATTAATTATGTTAACTCTTTAAAAGTGTACGTTTTTCAGGATAAATGTATACATTAGACCAGTGCAGTAAAGTGTATGAATTTTCAAATTATGGTTTAATCATTTAAAAAAGTATTATACTTAAAATGTTGCTGTATTTGACAAATAGAGCTATTTTTGGAATAACGTGGTACGTCATATTTTTTGCAGCTCTTGCTGTTTATCATTTTTTAGAAAGTTCAATTTGTTTGAAGGTAACTTGGGCATGCCTGTTTTAAATCATTTAAACCTGTTTTTGTTATGCAGGTCTTCCTGTGTTTTCAGAAAGTTGCTGCTGAAATCCTTGGAATCAAGTTAAACAAAGCAGAAATAGAACAGTCACAGGTGATTATATTGAACTGTATACTTTAAAAAAGTAATTTATTTCTTAATAGACATTAATTTTCACTCCAAATCATTTTACATTTATGCATTCTATGTACATATCCCTAACAGCCTTAAAAATAGATTGTGTGTATGAGTCAGTGTTTATTGCAAAAGATGGAGGATGTTAACTTTTTGCCAAATGATGATACCCTTGAAACTTCATTTTGTCCTTTTTTTGTTGGAAAAATGAGATTAATGTAATAAAAATTTCATCAGCAGTTAAATAATGGCTAAGGAACTGACCATATTATTTTGTATTTCTTTATTTAAGTTCTTCTTCCATGATTACTGTATAATATCCTTTTTATGTTTTATATAAAATCCCAACTATTTATTAAAGTTTAGTCTTAAGTAGTAAGAGTTTACCCTATTTGGCATTTTCTGTGTTTGCTTTGGTGAAACAGTATAAAAAAAAAGTGTTGCTCTCTGTTCTTCTGTAAAATATCCTGCATTGTAATATTAATTCTTGATGTTATTTTGTTGTTAACTTAATAATGGTATTAATTATTGAGGATTTCTGAATTCTTCCACTATTCCTAGGCAGTTCTCTTAGACTAAGAAATAAACATGAATACCAATAGTCAGCTGTTTAAAGGTACAGTAGCATACTACTTCACATGTTCGATTGAATAAAAAAATCAGAGCAAGAGCCTGTAGTTTAAAATTAGACTTCAGAAGTGGTTTGCTTAGAAGCAACGTATATTGATTAATTACATTTTCCCTCGACCCCCTCCACTTTTTCCCTGCTTTGTGAAGCTACAAAGGTATAATGATCTTTCTCCATCCTTAAATTTTTCTTTAATTCTTTTTGAGTTAATTCTGTGTCTTCTTTTCATGGTCACTCTTTGTGTGTGCATGTGTGCATGTTTTTAGACAATTTGAGCAAATATCAATTGAAAATTGTTATGCTGATATGGCTGTTTCTAGAGCTTCATTAAAATATTTGGAACCCTGGAAATCTACTTTTACTTCTCACTATTCAAAAGACATTTCAGCACTTACTGTGGCCAGACACAGTGTTTAACTATTTGTGCGTTAAAAACTGTTCCCAGACACAAAGTAGTTACTTGACTTTGGCCTAGGAGGATGGATACAAGAAGAGAAATCACTGATTTGCTTGATTGTACAGAACTTGGCAGATCCAAGAAGTCACGTGATTCCTCTGCTTTGTAGCTTCACTTTCTAAATGATGTTTGTGCCTGGTTAACTAGGTAGTCCGTAAATGATTTTCAGATGATCGTAAGTGATTAATTGATCATATAAGTGTGGTTTACTGGTGGATCCAGAGGAGATTTAAGAGTTTAGGATGCAGTGAAGAAAATTAATAAACGTGCCAGCTACTGTTATATCATTTAATCCTTACAATAACTCTGGGGCAGGTAGCACTTCATCATTTTATGGTTGCAAAACTGAGACTGCAGAGACGTTAAGTAACTTGATCTGCTTATCTGCAGCTGGGCAGTGGTGGACCCAGGATTTGAATTCAGGTCTGTCTGATGGCAGTACCCCTAATGTTTCTACTCTACCATACTGGGCAAAGATTTACTGGGTGGTTTGGAGTGCGGAGTTGAAAAAGAAGCTGGCACAAACAAGTTGAAAAGTTTAGATTGTATTTTGGAAAGAGAAGAGCTGTTTGGTTAAAATAAATGACCAATTTGTGTTGGAGTGTGAAAGAAATTTGAGGAAAGATTATGCAGATTTACGAATGCCAAGTTGATAAATTTTAATCTCAGATATTGACAGTGGAAAATAATTTTAAGCAGGGAAGTAAACAAAAGCGGTTTTTAGATGGGATTAATCTAATGGGATTTGTGTGTGTGGGGGGGGTGGGTGCCAGAGAGGCTGAAGCAAGGAGACTGGGTTACTGCCCTCTTGTGATAAGGACCGGAATCGGGTGGAAGGGAAGGGATGGGTGTAAGAGACATTTCACAGAAGAATCAGTATAAAAGGGAGAAGTCATCCCAGATCACGTTGTGGTTTCTCAACTGGAGGATTGGAAATCGGAAGACCCAGTGGGGAGTCCCCCTAGAGGAGAAGGTATGCCGGTGCAGCGCTGACGGCCCCACGGACAGGGGGGTCTGTACACGCCCGAGCCCCCAGCAGTGCTCAGGTTCTAGGGTATCTCCAGAGAGGTGGAGTGACTGGGGTACTGCTAAAAGGCAGAACTCTAGGGACCCTTTGTTCATTTTTTAGCTCACTCTTAGTCACAAGAGACAGAAAGTTACTATTTGGACTTTTAGAGATGGACTTAACAGTTAGGCACGTTTTAACTAAACCCGTGTCAGATGTGTTAACTCCAGACCTCCTCACCCTCCCTGTGCACCCCACCTTGTTTGTAAGTGCACCCCAGCTTCTTAGGCCATGAAGTTTAGTTCTCTTTTCAACTTGTTGGTCTTTACTTTGAATGCATTCATTTGAAGATGAATTCAAGCTGCTAAGCCCTCCTTCACTGTGTCTGTCAGAGCCTTTGTGTTGGGAAACCTCATTCTCCATTTCTTAGACCAGTGAATTTGGTGCCTTTGCCAATTAATTATGTATTTCACAGTTTTCTCAGTGGGAGGAAACATTTTTGAAAGTTCATTATTTTTAAAAGATGTTTCTGAGAACATACTTGCAAGCTATCTTGAGCACAGTATTATTTTTTATTGAAATATATTTGGCACAAAACATGTGAAGTATATAACATGTTAATTTGATATCTTTATATATAGTAATATGATTTTGCCATTATAGCAGTAATTAGTATCTCTATCATGTTACATAAGTATCTTTGTTAGTAGTTGAAATAATTAAGTTATAATCGCTTAGCAAGTTTGATGATTATAAAACAATATTGCTTTCTGTGTTCACTGTACTGTGCATTATTTCTAGGACTTATTTCCTAATAATGGTAAGTTTGTACCCTTTAAAGGACATCTTTCCTATCCCCTCATCCTGTGGGAACAACCATTTTATTCTTTTTTTTCTTTTTTGCAATTCTGGCTTTTAAAAATTTCATGTGTAAGTAGTATCATACACTTCTTGACATTTTCTGTCTGCTTCATCTCATTTTGCACAATGTACTTGAAGTCCATCCATATTTTCACACATGGCAGACTGTTATTTCTCATGGCTGAATAATATCACTTTGTGTGTGTGTGTACATATATTTATATTCCACATTTTCTTTATTCACCTATCAGCAGGCACTTTGCTGTTTCCATATTTCGCTTATTGTAAATAACACTGTAATGAACCTGGATGGGCGTGCATGTATCTTCAGATAAATACTCAGGGATGGAATTGCTGGATGGTATGGTAGTTCTGGTTTTAACTTTTTGAGGAAACTCCACACTGGTTTCCAGGGGCTGCACTAATTTACATTCTCTTTCGGTGCATACGGGTTTCTTTTTTTCCACATCCTCTCCAGCATCTCTTCTATTCTTGAGGACAGCCATTTTAACAGGTGGGAGGTGATATTTCATAGTAGTTTTAATTTGTTGATTAGTGATGTTGAGCATCTTTTCATGTACCTATTGGCCATTTGATGTCTCTGAAAGTTCATTTAAAAGCAAAGTAGCTGAGGTAATCTGAACTTCTTTGCTTCTATATATAATTTATATACAGAAAGTGGAGGAGTAGGGCGGAAAGGAAGGGGGAGAGAGAGAGAGCCTGTGCACCTGCGTTCTGTGGTTTTAACGTCATTTGAAAGAGTCCTGAAGGAACTCAGTGTCACAGGGTGATAAAGTGTTTTGTATTATTTTATACAGAAGAAGCTAGATTGTAGACTCACCAGTCATATGGAAATTGATGCTATAGTAATTTTGTTTGTGACAAATATTTATAATAAGGCCTTAGTCTTAGTTCCATTCACTGATTATTTAAAGAGATTCTGCTATTTTAGTTTTAACCTAGATTATTCCCATTTGAGAGTCATATAAAATGAGTTATCAACACATTTTACAAGCTGTTCAAGGAAGAGAAGAAGGAAGAAAGAAGGAATGCAGTTTGCTAAGACAGCAGACGTGTTTTGAGGATCTTTGTGCCAGGGCACTAGAATCTGGGAGACAGAGACGAGAGAGCTGCAGCCCTCATCCTGAGGGAGGGGCGCGGGGGGCTCCCGGATTGCGTGAGGGCAGGCCGCCGCGTCCAGTGTGCTCTGATCCGTTTCCGCAATTCCTATTAGTGCCACTGTCCCTGGCCAGCTCATGGAATATGACTTGGTTTGCTTTGAGCTAGGTATGTGTTAGTTTTAGTGATCCTGTGTTTTTATAGATTATAGTTCATGTAAAGTTCTTAAAAATAGTAGCTGTGCATTATATCTGTGTATTTTATTTATTTTATCCCTAGTAGGTTGTACCTCTTAATCCCCTCCCCCATCTTTCCCTTTTTCTCTTCTCTCTACCCACTGGTAACCACTAGTTTGTTCTCCATATCTGTGAAGCTGTTTCTGTTTTGTTATAATTACTTTATTTGTTTTGTTTTTAGTTTCTGCGTATAACTGAAGACACACTATTTATTTTTCCTCTATCTGACTTATTTCCCAAAACATAACAACCTTCAAGTCTGTCCCTGTTGTTGCAAATGGCAACATTTCACTCTTTTTATGGCTGAGTATATTCCATTGTGTGTGTGTATCACATCTTTCTTACCCATTTTGTGCTGATGATCACACATGACTTCCATATATTGTTTATTATAATTAATACTGCTATGAACATTGGGGTGCATATGTCTTTTCAGATGAGTGTTCTTGTTTTCCTCAGATATACACCCAGGAATAGAATCACTGGGTTATATAGTATTTCTATCTTTAGTTTTTGGGGAGCCTCCATAGTGTCCTCCATAGTGGGTGCGCCAATCTGCATTCCCACAGCAGCATAGGGGGGCTCCTTTCTCTACACATTCTTGCCAACACGTGTTATTTCTTGTCTTTTTGACAGTAGTTATTCTAACAAGTATGAAGAGATACCTCATTGTGGTTTTGATTTGTATTTTCTTAATGGTTAGAAGTGTTGAGCATCTTTTTCATGTGTTTTTTGGCCATCTGTATGTCTTATGTGGAAAAAATGCCTTTCAGTTCTCTGAACATTTTTAATTGTTTCTCTGTTATTTTGTGTTTGACGCTGAGCTGTATGCGTTCACTCTTCATCGTATCGTCTGCAAATGTCTTCTCTCATTCCACAGGGGGCCTTTTCATCAGTTAATGATTATTTAATGTGGCCTTTCACTGATGGTTTCATAACCATCACCCATTTTCTTGATGGTTGCTTCCCTTGCCTGAGGAGAAAGTTCCAAAAAAATATTGCTAAGCCCTGTGTCAGATCATATTCCATTATTTTTCTTTTTCTGTTCACTTAAAAAAATTTTTTTTCATATAGTTTCAAAACCAAATGGGATCTTAGCGGCCACATAGATAAACCTTGTGTTTTATAGATTAGGAGAGTGTGAAGACCAAAGAGGTGAAGTAACTTGCCCAGAGTTACGACTGTTACTGACAGCCTGTGATGACATATTATACAGTGTATGTGTATGCCATTACATGGAAGAAGAAGGAGAGTCGCTTTCTTTAAGCTCCTACTGTGTGCATGGTACCATGCTTTTAAAAAATGCTACATCTGTACTTTGAGTGGTAACCTATAATCTTGAATTTGTTGAATTCACGTTCAATTGGTATCAATCATAGTATTCTTTAATAATTTATGCATTTGTTTTCCTTGCTAGACTCTTAATGCATCTCAAAAAAAGAGAGATCATGATTGTTGGAATGTTTCCAGTACCTGGAATAGTGGTTTGCTTTGAATGAGTGATAGTGACAGGTGTTTTAGCTGTCAGAGTATGTTTCCTCTCTATCCTGAGGGTGACCAACTCTGACTTTTATAAGTTTATATGTTTCTACTATCTGGATTACAGCACAGTTGCAGAATTAACCAGATTTATCTTTCCCGAGTCCATCTCTACTGCTTATATCTTACCACTTCAACTCCTAAGTTGCTTTCTTGCTTACCCTAATGGAGAGCTACCACTTTCAGTTCTAGTATCTGACTCTGACAACTCTGACAAAACAGGGGTTAGGCTGGTGTTCAGCCACACAGCTCGCTTTCTATTAGGGCCACTGCATTGTTTTCATTCACTTGACTAATAGCAGAGAACAATTGAGTTTACTCTGTAGCTCCAAACATAAAGACTGGTGTTTTGTAGGTAACACTCTTCTCTGAAAACATTGATGATTGAATGATTTGTAAACAAGCAACTACTGTCAAGTCCCCTACCATGAAGTTTATATCATAGAAATTATGCTTTACTTACTCAGAGAAAGCAAAGTCCTGAATATGTAGAACTTTGATTCTGGCTTCCAGTTCAGAAATTTTGTACAGAGCTTTATGTCAAACAACCAAGGCCCTCAAGAAAGATGTTGCCTTGTTAGTTCTTAATTAATTTGATGAGAATTAGTGGTGAAAATCCAAGTCGTTTATGTTAGTCAATACTTTGACCAGAGTGTCTTGACCACAGGTCAGTGACCTGGTTGTGTTTATAAGATAGGGTTTAAACCATCATTTTGGAGGATTAATGAGTTGCTTGCTGATTATGAAAATCCCTTCTCTTTATTGTAACCCATAGTTTGGCATGAAGCAGTTAGGTTTGGGGAGGCCAGATGATGGTGTTCAACCAGCCAGTGATGCACCCCCCTCATACGTCATGTGGCAGTTGGCAATGCTCCTGTGATAGCATCAGGCTGAGTGCCTAGTAAATCATGAGTCTTGTCCAGAAGTTAATACTGCTTGCTGGAGAACTGGAGCAGAGCCTGTCCAAGGCTAATACACCTTAGTGTCCTGTTCATTTACTTTCAGTTGTTTATCCAAGCTTTATAAACATTATCACAAGCAGCAGCCTGATTAATATGTTTTTCTCTATGTGCTAATTAATAGATGCTATGATGAAGGAAGATCTTTCCAAAATAAAATATTTGAACTCATTAAAAGCGGGTATAGTTCCAAGTCTAAAAAATTTGGGGAGTGTGTTATCTCTGTCATATTTATCTTATGTGGTCTTCTCATCTTAAGGGTTATAGTAATCAAAAAATCTAACTAGTTTTGATCTGTTACTTAGCAGAATTCTTTATTTGAAAACATCAGCTGTCATGCTTAAAATATGGTATGTTTTTTAACTATAAAAAATGTATTTTGATCTTACTTTTTTCTGTATGAAATTTCAAAACATGGAGGTTAGGGCTGTGAGAGCTGGGGAAGTGACCATCAAAAGGAAGTCTTTGACAATAATGAATATGATTAAATATAAAAACCCTAAATAACATGCAGCTTCCTCTGATTTGTGCATCCTCTCCCTACCTTCAAAGAAAATGAACCACTCTTTGTTCCCATACATATTATAAATCCACTAGTAAATTTCTTACCTGGTATGACGGTTAGCTGAGTGCATGTTCCCTTCCCACAGCAACTTATGAACAAATCCTGTGCAGTTCACCATTTGTTCCCAGTGCAGAGTGACTGGCCCACGGTAGATGCTCGGTAATGTTTGTAAAAGGAAATTGAATGAGTACTTCTGCTGTACTTCAGTAGAGAAAAGCCCCCAAATTCTTTGCTGAAATACTGGGCATTATATGTGTTGCATGTAATTCTGATATCAAAAATAGAGCCCACAGCTCTTCTGTGAGGCTCAGTAGACATGTCCATTTCAATAATTAAATAGAATTGTAATGTTTCTTGGATCTTTGTTCGTTTTCTTTCCTTTTATATGCATATATTCTGCTATTTCTTTTGTGGCTTGTTTAAATTTATGTGCATATTTCTTTTTCTGCTTTGGTGTTCCCATCTATTTTCAGTCATTGAACACACTTTCCACTTTTTTCTTTTTTTTTCCCCCTTTCTTCTGCACCTTGTTTATGTTATACGGAATTGACAGCGTATTGTCAGGGCAGAAATAGTGAAGTACTCGGAAGAAGATAACCAACATACCAACTCTGCTCAGAGCAGAATCTGTTCAGTACAGTAGTGCAGGTATTAATCGATAAACTATTGCAATTTGGGGGAGGAGGGTGGGGAGAACTGGTGAATGTTATCTTGTTCTTTATGAATAAAAAATTCAAAGATTTATTGTTCATTCTTGGGAATTAATATTGCATGAGTCCTGTTCTGAAACTTTGAAAAATTGATACTTTGCCAGACTTACGACTTAAGGAATTGGGAACAAATTAAAATAACATTTCATTTACTTTCAAATGTATTTGTCTTTATGGTCATGTTTATTACATGTGCAGTGAAGTGGAGAATTGAAGCAGTTATTTCATTATTCTCTCCTTACTGTTTTTTCCTGAAATAGCCTGGTAATTGAAAGAGTATTTTCAAAGTTTGCCTTGAATTACCCTTCTTTGTCTGCTTATGTGTGCAGACTTAGTAAGAGTTGAAAACAGTTCAGGATTTGTTTTCCCTTAAATTATTACTTAAAGAAGAATGTTAGGGCATGTCGCTAAATTCATTGTTTAACATATTCTTTGAAGTTTGTGTTAGAAGGAAGGAAGGAAGGGTTAAAAGTATCTTTTGATTTAAATTATTTTAAACACATGAATATGAGGTAATATAAGTTTCTCATTATTCTATATTTTGTTAGAGTTGTTATTCATGACCCAATAGTGAGCAATTTGGAAGTAAGTCAGGGATTTGGGAGAAAAGTTTTAAAAATTGGAAAAGTTTTGCCCAAAACATTTCTTCTTTATATGTGACTTCTTTTTAACATTTTTATTTCTTCTCACTAACTCACAAATTGATAAACATTTTTAAAACAGTTATGCCTGAGTATAATAGTTTATGGAAATATTAATAAATAATATTTTTTACTTTGAAATGATGAGGCCTTATCTATGAATAAAAACTTGTAATGATTAATTTGAAATCCTTTGCTTTAAATTATAACCGGGATTTAGTTTTTCATACTGATTTGCCAGTTTTTTATTAGATTTGTGATAACCTCATAGATGTCATAAAACCAGAGAGACTAAATAAAAAAATTGCTATTACATCCTTAACAAAGCCAACCCCTCCCCCCACTTTCCCACCCCCCCCACCCCCAAAAAAAGAAAATTCCAGCTTGACATGAGTTGGTTCTGGCTGATTCTTTTAATATCAGCTTCTGCTTCATTTATGATGTCTATCATCAGGAGTTCACAAAAGTTCAGAAAATAAAAATATACTTCAAGGAGCTCTTTCTAAATGTTCTGATGTCCTGATAATAACTCTGTTTTCTTTTATGACAGAGAGTGGTGAAGGCAGATATTGTAAACTACAACCAGGAACCCATGTCAAGAACTGTTAACTCTACTAGAAGCTCTATGTGTGCAGTTCAGTGAGCACGTTTTTCTTTTGTATTGATAGTTCT